TGTTCTGCTATTGCTTTGGGTTTGTTCAAGGTTTGTTCTTTCTTGCCTACTCGTTTTTTGGAGGGAGATGTGAGTGACTCGGTTATTATGAACCGAGTTTTGACCGATCTTGACTTTTTAAATATTGGTCAAATCAGTTTGACTTAACTGTAAAACTTCATTTGATTTGTTTGTGCTTAACTGTTCATCCTTCCCTCTGCTGTTTTGTTTTCTGGGTTTTATGAAATGTGTCCATGACAATCTATTCAAGAGGGTGAAATGCACAGTGTGGACATAATGCAAGAAAACGGATGTGAAAATCTAGCGGTGGACGGGTGGTGACTACTGCTGGTCATTATAGGGGCAGTGGAGGTGCTCTGTTGAACTGGGTGATGATGCTGTAGGCGTGGACAGCACTGCTATACAGAAAAAGTATCAACAATTGCCTCAGGGCTTAAGTGCTTGTGTTCGGATGGGCACATGTTTATAGGGCTAGTATTAATTTTATGATTATGTGGCTATTGCTGTTGTACCACAGGCTTTTTACCCTGTGGTATGGGGCGTGCTGACCCAAATCGACAGGGGAGGAACTTGACCAGGTAGAAATCTGTATAGGCTCATCTCAAGCTTATATGAATGAACTACTATTTACAAGAAAAAAATAAAAAAGATTATAACGGCACAACAAAAGGAAGGAATAGATGTCAAGTATGGATTCCACCACTGGAGGCTGTCCATTACAATAACTTATCCGTAATCAAGAAATATCTACATATACTTCTCAACTCATAAATTTAGCTTCTATGAAACCCGACTTATGGTTGTATTGTGAGGCCTTCAATATATAGCTTTCACTATAAGTAGTTTTTTCTTTTGCCAAATATACCTATACGTATCATTCTAACCACTATTGTTACGACACAACTATATACTTTCACTGTAACAATGTCTTTCATCTGTACCTGCTTCTTTTGTCACTAGCCCAAGTTGAATTCATATCACTTTACAAGCATTGTGAATAAGAGGAGGTTATCCGCTCATGTCATATCCTTCACCTTGACTGAAAGGATTGAAGTCCCCTGGCTCTTCCATCTTTCCCATGAGACAATCAATTCCTGCATTCATGAATTTGGTAGTTAGAATACTCCTGCAAACTCAATTAATTAACAATTATCAGGGAAGAAAGAACAATGTCCAAGTGTCCAACTATGTAGGTATGTTGTGATTTAATTAGGATAAATACAATCTGAGTTAACTCTATTGCAAACTCACCTGTAATTCTTATTGCCTCTAGATTTCACCAATGGTACCAATTTTAGTCAAATCTAATATGGTTAAGAGATGACGATTTTGCTACAAAAAAACTGAAGGACGTGCCATTCATTACTCTAGCACAGTAACTTGTCCTCCATGAGTAAAGAATAAGGGCTGATATTGGTGAATATCTCATATAACCAACGAAGACTGAGACGTGACACATCTAGAGGTTTCCATATTTTTATTCTTAGCACAAAAAGTGCATTACAGGCAAAAGCAAGGATTTTGATTTCATAATCTTAGAAAAATACCTCAATCGGAATAAATTTACTGGAAATATAACACGTACTCAACAATATCAACATCCTTGAAGGATAAACAAAAGTGCACACGGTAGCAGTTTCTACTATATATGGTAGCAGTTTCTACTATATATGGTAGCAGTTTCTACTATATTTGTAACTTTAATACCAAATCATTGAAGGATCAACGTGGCTACAACAACTTCTAAGCTGCAATCCCCTAAAGTTTATAGCTAAGATATGGTAGCTTAATACTAAATACTATATATGTAACTTAATACTAAATATTATCTTAAGAACAACGGACTTTTAATAACACAATATACAATTAAAACAGCAGCACAAGAAACTTATTAAATTGTCAAGATTGTGGAAGCATTAATTAGGTCCTTTTATTTTGTTTCCTTGTCTTTGATATAATTGTATACTGCCTGCATTCTTAAATAAAGTTGGAAATAAAAGAAAACTATAATTTAAGGTGCACCTACTTGAGTTGGATAGTACACTCTCGTAAAACGATATCTGGTGAACCCTACCGCCAGACAAGTTTGACGAGTTAGACTGTGAATCTGGTGGTTGCAGTTCAACATTCTGTAAGCATGTTTCATCCGACCTGAGAACTGGGGATTTCTGTGAGTGAATGCCATCGGAATTTGTTTTCTTCTCTATTGAGCACTCATCTTCGATCTCTATATCTGATTCTGCATTATTTGAAGCTTTAACCATCTGCTTTCGCTTTGATCTAGCCCGCCTATTTTGAAACCAGTTATAAACATTTGTTTCTGAAATTGGGCCGTGTTGCGTCAGTTCATTAGTTATCTCTTTGATCTTCAGTTTACCTGGGAACCCATTGCCTCCATCAAAGATGCGGTCAAGAATTTGAAGCTGCACAGGCGTGGGGGTCCATCGCTGCCTAGAAGTCTTGTTGCCAGTAGATGTCATTAATGAATCACAATACAGATTTCCAAGCTTCATTCCTGACAAAGTACAATACAATTATTATTTACCAGAGATTAGAGATAAACTAAGCCCAATATATCAAAATGTGTTAAATTTGTTTCCCCTTCAATTAATAAGTGGACAAAACGCAATAATGTTCCTTCATCTGTCATTGACTGTAATACATCTTAGAGAGACACACCACAAAAAGAACAGTCTTCATGGAACACTTCATCAACTATAATATTTAAAAAGAAGTCAGCATACAAAGAAAGACTAGGTGGAATTTAAAAAGGTCAAACCAACGATATACCATTAATTGGAATCCCTGCCAAGAGAGATACCCACATTATCAAGGTCCATGGATAATGTAGGAGGTAACTCTTTTTTTGAGAAATGGAAAACAAAGCTGGAAATGCTACATAGGGTTACTGAGTTACTTGGGCAAAACATAGACTCATAGAGACCTTCACCTTTCCCCAAGGCACAAAAAGAAAGTGCAACACAAGAAGCCCCATCATTTTGTCATCCCGTCATCTTTCCACAAGCTTGATTTTTTTGGTACTGAGCACATGGCATAGCAAGTCCGCTCAAATACTGTTTGAAACAATGCTAAAAACAACCCTAGCAAAAGAATGCTTGCCAACTTCAGATTAATAAAACTTTACCCCATTTACAAAGAAAAAAGTTTCTGAGATCGAGATTTGAAATTCCAGGGTATAAAGAAAGTTTGGAGTTTCTTCAGTAAAATTATTGTAAATAAATGACACCAAAAGGTCCTATGGTGTAGAGGTTAGCACTCTGGACTTTGAATCCATTGACCTGGGTTCAAATCCCACCTTCAGAACTTTCTTTTTAGAAAAAGAAAACAGTGAAAGAAATATGATATGAGTTGAAAACATATTTTTATTTCACCAAGTATATCACATGCAAGAAAACTACCAAACACTTTGTAACTTATAACTCACCACAACAAATGCAAATAAAAGAGAAGTCATACAACCAACCACATCTTCGACATCACTACATACATTAAACGCCAACACGGATTGGGAACAACAAACTATTTGGGAATAACCAAGTAATTTTCCAAGGAGATGATAGATCATTTTCTGACATATAACAGGGCAAGATCCACGCTCTATCATGTTTGTCTGTTCATTCCCATCCATTCAAATATAATGAAAGGTTGGAGTGACATAAATGAAAAATTTCCAATAATTGACATCAATACGTCCTATGGTGCAGAGGTTCACGTTCTGGACTTTGAATCCAGTGACCAGGTTCGAATCCAGCAGGGTCCTTCACAACAGTTCTTTTAAGAGAAGTGATACTAGTAGAAAGCATATTTTTACTTCACCAAGCAAATGATATGCAAATTTTATAGCACATCAAAAATAAGGCAAATAAAAGAGAAGCCACACAACCAACCACATCTTTTACATCACTACATACATTAAACGCTAACACGGGATTCTTTAAACATTTTAACCCCAATCAATTACTCAAAAGAGAGGAGGGGGGATTTTGTGTGTTATGGGCCCCAAATTGCGAAAACTTTTCCAAGGAGATGATAAATCATTTCTCTGGCAAATAAGAGGGTAGGTACCACATGTCTGACATGTTCATTCATATCCATTCGAAAATAATGAAAGGGGGAGTGACATAAGGTAAAAGATTTTACAATAAATGACATCAAAAAGTCCTATGGTGCAGAGGTTAGCACTCTGGACTTTGAATCCATTGACATTAAATCCAGTAGGACCTTCACATTATTTTTTATACAAAATAGGAAAGAGGAATGATACTACCAAACATATTTTGCCCTTTATAGAGGATTCAATGGTTTTCAGTTTGCACGGGCTTCTCAAACATTTTACCCAATCAATTCACAAAATTCGTTAATTATGTTTAGGTTGCACTTAATCAACTGTATTTTTGTTGGGATGCATTGTGTACAAAGGATTTTATTTTATTAAATAATGATTCTTCTATTTTCTTCAAAGCGAGTACTATGGATTTTTATAATTTATAGGGTTTAATAGGCACACCCTGTGTTCTGCTTGGGAAACAGAATTGGATTTCAACAATCCATTTTAGTGGTAGTAAGTATGCGTTCAAAACTGGCAGGCAATATCGCATTGCCAAAAGTAACTACTAATTGTTAGTTCATGGGAGCAAATAAACTATTATCATTAGGAAAGAAATTAAGTTGTTGTGTTGCCATATATTGGGACACCAATATGAGTTGTGGCGTTAGCTTTACTAAGAAAATACCTATGTAACATGGACACCTCTTAAGAATCGGGGTCAGATACACGGACACACGGCACATGTTGGATATACAGAGATATATGTCAGACAGACTTACAAACTCATGCATGCAATTTCGGGTTAGTGTGTTGAGTTGACTGTTTTCTGAAATTCTAAAATATGAAGAAAACAAACATGGGAAAGAAAAGAGAAACAAGGACATATATTTACATATTTTATCCCTTCATCTGATTACAACTGCAGAAATGGAAAAAGAAAGGTGAGATAGGGAGGCGTTATTCTCTCTGTCTGAAACATGGATTACAAATAAATCACAATCCGTGTCCCTGTCTCAAAATGGTTTTAGGATGCCACACCTGACACTTACCCATATCGGACACCGAAAAGTGTGCATGTGTCAAGGTTCAAGAAATAAACAGAGTGATATTTCTCAAAGTAGGGAGGCGTTATTCTCTGTCTAAAACATGGATTACAAATAAATCACAATCCGTGTCCCTATCTCAAAATGGTTTTAGGATGCCACACCTGACACTTACCCATATCGGACACCGAAAAGCGTGCATGTGTCAATGTTCAAGAAATAAACAGAGTGATATTTCTCAAAGTGGGGAAGTTTTTTTTTTTTTTTTCTACGAATGACAACGTAAGATCCATAAATTTTCAACAATTTTAATCCCTCGACCAAATCACCCATTGGAAGACAATGCAAGGTTAGAGTGTCATAATATTTTTTATTAGTTAAAGGAAAAAATCTACACATCATATGGTGTAATAGTTAATACTCTGCAATTTAAACCCAGTAGCCTGGGTTCCAATACCAGAACAACTTGCTGTAGAAAGAGCAAAAAGAATGGCACTTCCAAACACAAACTTATATCACTAAGCACATTAAGCGTTTCACACGGACTTTTCGTATATTAACGAACTGCTTCACAAAGGCTTTTGAATTTGGTAGCTCAAAACCCAAAATTAACTTATTGTTGTTATTTCAGAAAACAAAGATGATTTTATTAAAAGAGATCATCCGAAGATAATCAGGTTGATAAGGCCACATCCTGGAGAGGAGAAATCATTTATTTGGCGTATGGTTTGTGGAAACTGGAGATGAAGAACAGAAACGGAAAGTGGTAGGTATGGGCCTTAGATTGGGCAAGATTCTAGTGAGGAAAACATAGTCACATCTGCCAAGGAAGTAAAAGACACTTGTCTCGTAATTAATGACAAGGTAAAATCCATATTTCTGACAAGTTCGTGTCCTTGCACTCATTTGGCCAGTAGAAGATAAAGAAAGGTTGGAGTGACATAATTTCAAAGATATAAAAATAATGACATCAAAAGGTCCTATGGTGTAGAGGTTAGCACTCTGGACTTTGAATCCAACGACCTGGGTTCAAATCCCAGTAGGACCTGTGAATTATTTTTTCTTAAAAATGGAAAGAGAACCGACACTACCAAAAAGGCAAAAAAAAAATTTATACCATAAACACATCAAACACTTCGGACATGCAATTTGACCAATCAAATCAAGGCAGATGTTCAAATGAATTTTGGTTGTTGGCATCACAAGACATTACGAGAGAAAAAGAAATTTAACTGATGGTGCTTTGGTTCTTTGGATTGGGAAGACTTAGGTTGGAATAAATTATTGTAATATTTTGTCAAGGGGAAGGGTTGTATTTAGAAGAAGATGGTCGCTCTGGACCGTAGGTTTTGGATTATTTTCTATGAGGAAACGTAAAGACAATTCGCAGGCAGGAAAAGATATTCTTTTCCTTTCCGGACAAATGACATCTTAAGACTAACATTTTGGGAAAAATAGTGCCCTAGCACCTAATCACACATTTGAAGACAAAATAAGGCTGGAGTGACATAATCTAAAAGATGTTGAATAAATGACATCAAAAGGTCCTATGGTGTAGAGGTTAGCACTCTGGACTTTGAATCCAGTGACCTGGGTTCAAATCCCAGTAGGACCTGCAATTTATTTTTACTGAAAAGGGAAAACAGAAACGAAACTGCCAAACACAATTTTATATCAATAAGCGCATGATCTGGTTTGCATAGCCATTATGACCTCTCACTTCACAAAACATATTAACAAGCATTTAATTTTTGACACCATGAGGAATTTAACAGCAATATCACATCCTCAAAAGTAGATTTTGTTCATTCAGGAAAGAAAGTATGATTATAGAAATGAAAAAACATATGAACAAGCATTAAAGGTTTTGACTTTTGACACCATGAGGACTTTAGCAGCAATATCACATTCTCAAAAGTAGCTTTTGTTTTGTTCATTTAGGAAAGAAAGTAAGATTATAGAAGAAAGAAAGTTAATCACTAGGAGGAGAACTATCATGGCACTCTTGGCTCACTGATCATGTTCTATCCTACCATATGAAAGGGAAAAGCCAAAAGTGAGAGAACAATTCACTCAGGGGCAAAACATACAAGGCCAGTAAGGATTTACTCCATGATTACAATTGTCCGCTAGTCGCTAAATCCTCAATGTAAACCTTAACAAAAGCTTTGACGTCCACAGTTACTGTATTGATTTAAGAACCATAAACTGGAGTGGAATCATGCTTTTCTTGATCTTGTAATGCCCAAACATACCAATGACGGAATCTTCAAAATTTTGACACCATATTTACTACAAACTATAATAGGCAACTAGCTGAATAATTCTAGCACATCCAACATGTTGCTGTTATGCATTTAGTACTTAAGAACTTAACAAGAACTCTTCAAAAATCAAAACGGAAAGGTTTGGGTGACATAATCTCAAGAAACTATGAATAACCGACATTACAAAAGTCCTACGATAGACAGGTTAACGCTGTGCACTTCAAATCGAAAAACCTAAGTTTAATTCCCAATAAGGCCTTCACCCTTTGCAGTATTTCTAGAATAAATGAAAACTACCAATCACATTTTCAAATCACTCACAAGTCACAATTGACGCAAGCATTTCAAACATTATAACCAATCAACTCACTTTTAAGGAAATTAAATTTAGCTAAGGAATTTATAACCAGAATCCAAATTGTGCCCATAATGCACAAATTCACACTAATACTCACACCAAAGATCATAGAATATAACAAACCCACCACATTAAACAATAAACAGTGTACCCTTACCCCCAATAAATAAATATCCCCATCACAGAAAATCATGGATACCCATTAAAGAATAAGCCACGTAGAAGCCAAAACTGAATGAATGGAATCTAAAAAGATACAGAATCACAGAAATACCCAACAGTGACTGACTACAAAGAGTTTTCACAAATAAATAGTTCAAAAAGTGGGTGTGAGGTGAAAGTGTGTGTAATAAAGAGAAGAATAAGATACCTGAGAGATCATGTTGAGAAGAAATTGATTTGTGCATCTCGACAAGTTGTTCACAAATAGTAGAGTAAATAGAAATTTGCTTTCGAAGTAACTCTATTTGTTCATCTGTCATAACTTTCACATACAACAAACTTGTATTCTCTACTTGTAACAACTGTGATTGCTGCTGCTCTTCTTCTTTCTCCCACTCCATTATCTCTCTTTCTTAACTTCTTCT